AAGCCCAGGAAAAAAAAAAAAAAAAAGTGGAGCATATAAATGGGAATTCAACCAGGAAGACTGCAAACAGTTCTGTTCAACTATCCAACAAAAACTAGGTAATATGGCTGTCAATCCTATACACTTAGACATGTACGCATTTATCCATCTCTTCATGTTGAGACCTAACAAAACATTAGATTAGATTAAAATCATTCTGAACAAAGATTAATAATATTGCTAGATTTCACATCATAACACTCTGGAATCAGCACTGGGAACTGCAGTGCCCCTTTCTTTCCTTCAAAGTATTTGTTCATTTCATCATGTGTCATAGGATCGGTTCTCATAAACTGTTCATAGGTTTTATGCAAGCATGAGTCTTAACATGTATTTCTATCCTTTCTATATTAGAGGGAGAAACAGAACAAGGCAGGACAGAACTAAACATATTCCTATAGGCACATAAAACCAAAAAGACATATAAAACTGCTGTATAAAGAGTTCTGCCATGGTCACTGTGCTGTTTCTTGTTATTATCAACAGAATTGGCTATATCATCAGATAAAGTATAATTGAATATATTAGTACATAACAGAATTAATAGAAATACAGCTTTGTAGATAGTGTAGAGCTACAAAAACAGGTAATAATCAAATCAGAATGGATATCATAGTGAATCATTGTCATTTTCAGTATGGTTGTGTATACTCCTCAACTTGATACCAGCAACCTGATGGTTCTGAATAAAATCTGTATCAGTCATGATACAACACTATAAGTCATACAGGGATCGTGATTGAGTTAATAAGAAATTAAAGATGACCACTGTGCTATGTCCTAATATCTTCGGGACATCTGTCTGTGCCCTCAGATCCAGTGCTGGTATACAGACTAGGACGGGACAAGTTCCAACCAAGCAGAGTGGTGTGAGTAACAAGGGTTTTTAATTCCTGATACACTATTAGCTATATCTTCTGCTGTCTTTTTAAAGACTATTCCTCCCCTTTCACTCCCCCAGAATAAACTGTGTATTTTTGGGTCCCCCCAACACTCACGGTTTTATTTTGGGGGGGCAACCTGCTATTTACCTAAGTGTTTCTGAACTTTCTCACTTCTGGACTGGATTTCCAGTTATATTTCTTCACTTATTAAAGCCTGTCTGTTCAACCTATCCATAAATACTGGTCCAGTTACCCCTATTACTCTCTGGTTCCCTACCACACTGAGTTTTGTTTTCTTATATTTGATTTTGGTCCATATATCCTTCTTCACGTTAATTATATTTCCTATAAAGAGCCTCTCGGTGGACCCTACATCTTGATCCACTCTGCCTGAGATTCTCTTTTTTCCATTATGTTAGTGTATCTAGACCATCTATATTAGAAATTATATCCAACCTTCTCTGCCTCATTTCTGTTGTGCTTTTTTCCCGTCATTAGTTGTTTGTCTTCTTCATTTCACTTTTTGTTCCATTCATTGGGGCCTCTCTGCCATTGTTCCTGAAATCCTCATGCTTTCATCTCTCTTTAGGATGTCCTGTAATATTCTGTGTAGAGTTGGATTGGTAGTTTTGAATTTCCCCAGTTCCTCTTTATCTTGGAAGCACCTTGTTTCTCCATTAATTTCTAGGGACAATTGTGCAGGATATATCAATCTTGGTTGGAGGTTATTATCTTTCAGGGCTTGGATTATTTCTTCCCACACTCTTCTAGATTTGATGGTGTGTGTCAAGAAGACTGCTGTAATTCTGATGGGTGTTCCCTTGTAAGTGATCTGTTTCTTGTCTCTGACAGCTTTTAATATTCTGTTCTTATATTGGATTTCTGGAATCTTGATTATTATATGCCTGGGTGTAGTTCTGTTTGGATTGTAGGTGGCTGGAGTTCTGTATGCCTCATACATCTGAGCATATTTACCTTTCCTCATGTTTAGGAAGTTCTCCTTGATTATTTTTGTGAATAGCCTTTGCAGTTCTTTTGTTTGTACCCCTGCTTCTTCATTCACATTCTTTATTCTTAAGTTATAGATCCTCTTGTTGTCTTCTAGGCTTTGTATTGTTACTGCTTGTTTCCTTGTTATTTTTAAGAAGTTTTTCCTTTTATGTTTCCACATTACAAACCTGCCCTCCAGTTCAGATAATCTATCCTTAGTTTCTTTCAAGCTGTTATGCCAGCTTTCAATGGAGTTTTAATTTCCTGTAATCTCTTTGAACCGGCTTCATGTATTCTATGTTTTTTCTATTTTCTCCATCAAACAATTCCCCCCCCCTTTTTTTTTCCATTCTACCATCTGTTTTTCCTTGGGAGGTGCTTAGCATTTCTTTAATTATTCTGTTTACATCTTGCTTTACTCGGTTAAATACTTCACTTTTGAACTCATCTATGAGGTCCTGAAGATATCACTTTATGTCTGTTGGTGCCATGCCTGATATTGCATGTTTTCTGTCCTCATTCTCCTTTGCATTTACCTTTCCTGGATCATTGTTCTCAGGATTGGGGACTGAGGACTCTTTCTTGTTGCCTCCTCTTCTCATAGTTTTTGTTCCTTCCATACAGGAGGCCCAGTTTCTTTCTTTGTCAGTTTCAGTTTGTCTGAAGTGTGCTGACGGTGGTCCTGCCCACTGCAGTGTATTAGGAGGTACAGATGCTGGCAGGCTATGCTGGGCCTGCCCCTCCAGGTCGCCTATTGAAGGCTTCACTGCATTAGGGTGCACTGTCAGGGGTAGGGACTTGGTTTGGGCTAGCCTATTGAGCCTCAGACATGGTATCACCCAGGCCAAGCGCTCCCCACCAATCCCCCTTGAGAAGGGAATATCTGACCGAAGTCACTGGCCAGTCTGCCTGGTCCCAGAATGTCCTCTATTGGAGCCTCTTTGTCTATGGAAAGGTCTTTATTCCTCTCACTCACTGCAGGTCAGTGCAGGGTTCCCGGCCAGCTCTGCTCTCAATTCGTTTCGCCGATTCCCACTCTCAGAGTGTTGGCGTCTCCAGTGAGTTGAAACTAGCGGGCTCTCCCAGCTGCGCCAGTTCAGGTGCGTGGTAGTGGCAGCATATTCAAACCGCGAGTTCAAGCAGTGGCACTGAGACTGTAGCTGTTCCAATCGTAGCACCGGGACTGTATTTTTAATTGGTTCCTCTCAGCTTAGTTTGTTCCTGGGTCAGCAGAGTGCATCTCCCTCTGTTTGGGACTCTCCAGGCTGTATTATTTTTGGAATCTAAGTTGGCTATCTCAGAGAGCTTCTGTAGCTGCTGTTATCTATCCATCATCTTTTTTCCTCCCTTCTTTGATATTCTTTTTCAGTGTTCCAGTTTCTAGTGTTCATTTGAAAGGTCTTTCGTTTCCTTGGTTAAGGTAATTCCTAAGTATTAATTTTTCTTGATGCTACATGGATTTCCCCCTCACTGCTTGGCTACTGTGAATACTGCTGCTAGGAACATCTGTGTGCACATTTTGTGTGCATGTGTTTCACAGCTACTGGACAGAAACATCTAATGTTGCTGAATTATGTGGTAACTCTATGTCTAACATTTGAGAAAGTGCCGAAGTGTTTTCCAAGGTAGCCCAGGTTTACGTTGAACTTATGTTGATCTTCCTGGTTCAGCCTCCTGATTTCTGGGATTATAGGCATATGTCACCATGCCTGGCTTTTTTATTTTCTTGATAGTATTCTTGAAAACTATTCAAATTCAAAAAGGTTTTATTTTGATCAATTCCAATTTCTCTACTTTATGTTTTGCTACTTGTATCTTTGGTGCCCCATTTTCTATGAACTGTGTTTTCCTAAAATTCATTTTTGTGAAAACTAATCTCTAATATGATAGTATTTAGAGATGGGGTCTTCAGATGGTCATTAGGTTTAGCAGAGGTAATAGGTGGGCTCCTGAAAAGATTAGTGCCAGAATCCTTGTCTTTTTAAAAATTCTTTTAAAATCTTTAATATTTATCTATTAAAATATATTAGCTGTGGGATTCTTGTAGGTATCCCTTACCTTATTTTATAAGTTTTCTTCTATTTCTATTTTGTTGAATGCTTTTATCATGAAAGGGCATTGAGTTTTGTCAAAGTTTCCTAGTCTATTGAGATGACCATGGGTTTTTAATTTATATCTATTAATAAAATACATTCCACTGATTATTTTCTAATGTTAAACCACCATTGAATTCCTGGCATAAATTCAGCTATGGATTTTTTTGGAAAATATTATTCGATTCTGTTGCTAGTATTTTGTTGAGAATTTTTTTACACATATTCATAATGAAGTTGGTCTATAGTTTTCTTAGTGTGCTGTCTTGGTTTGGACATCAGGGTAAAACTGGTCTCATACAACACGGAGTGTTTCTATTTTTATTTTAAAGAGAATAAAACAAAACAATAAAATGAAACAAAACAATGGCAGTGGTATTGGATGTCAAAAACAAGACAGTAGGGAATCAGCCATTGTTACTGTAACACACCTTGTCATCCTCTGAACAGACGCTCAGACTCAAAGAAAGGCATGTAGTCAGTCAAACAGCACAAGCACTAGGTTTTTTCTTTACTTTAGCTGCCATCATCTCAGAAATGTCAGGTGGTGACTTCTAGTTTTTTTGTGTCTGTGTCTTCTGAACTTGCTCTGGGCAGGCTGGAGTCAGACTGCATCCAGTTCCTTCGTCTTGACATTTTCCTGTGTTCTTTGGAATCAGCCCGTTACTGAGTCCTGGGTGCTTCCTGCATTAGCTGCCCCCCCCACCCTGGTGCAGAGGACTGGGCTAGGCCCCTGGGTTCCTCCCCTTCCAGGTTCCCAAGGTGACAGACAGGTGTGAGGTGTCTGCTCATTGATGTTGCTCTGATGGCAATGGGCTCACTGGGGCACAGCCTCTTCTCCTCCTGGCCTGTGGCAGCAGAGTCACTTGAGGGTGTGGCTTCTTCTCCATAGTGAGGCAGGGTCATGGAAGCTGACTCCTACAGCAGGGGTGATGTGGGGGGCTGTGGCCTCTTTTCCCCTCTACCCTGCAATGGCAGGTTAAAGAGGGGAGCGAGTTGTTTCTCCCTAATGAATTGACCATTACATTTCTAAACTTCCAAATGGCCAACACACCATAGAAAGATACTTTAGGCTCTTGTTTGAAATCAGCAGCTTCATAAAACTGCTGGCTTTGAGTCAGGGCCATAGGAAGTGTTTCTTTTAGGGTTTGGAAATTTTGTGAAGGATTAATTTAATTCTTCCTTAAATATTTAGTGACCTTGAAGTCATCTAGGTGTGGGGCTTTCTTTCAAGTATTATAAATACTAGTTAAATCTCTTTGTATGTGGAGTGATAAAAAGATATGTGAGTGTGTAAAGTAAAAAAAACACTTTTGTGGATAATAGTTCACATCGATATTTTATACTGTGAACAACCACTATGAATATAGCAATATGCAATGTATTAAAAAATAAAAAAATATTACAGGAAAGGGTGCATTGTCACTAATCCCCCACAAAAACTATCCCCATTCCTTTGGATGCACTTGTCCCATTGTCTCTGCCACATTCTGGAGCAGCTCTGGAAGTCTTATTTCAGAAGTGTCTTTAGTTCTACTGTCATGGCTTATCACTGTCCTGAATTGATTTAAAATGCTTGTGGCAATTTCTGACAAATAAAAACATTACAGTTTGTCCTTAGCTACCTTACTCACCAGATTTGGCACTGTAGGACTTCTAGTTCTTACTCAAAGTCAAAATGACCATGAATGGTAAATTTTGAATGAATTCAGGACATTGAGGCAGCCACAAGAGTACAACTAAAGATACCCCCGAAAGTGGACTTCCAGAATCGCTTCAGCATGTGGCAAGAACAATGGGACAAGTGTGTCAGAAGTGAAGGTGGGTATTCTGAGGAGGATTAGTGGCAATGTGTGTTTTACTGTAATTTTTACAATATTCAGTTTTTAAGTCATATCTCAGTATGCTTTAGGTCTTTAGATTATTTTATCTTAACTCAGTTAACAGTGACAATTTCAGCCAGACTTGAAAGTTACCAGCAGCTTGGTCTTTCTCTCTCCCTGTCCTTGAAACCTCTGTTTTTCTCATGATACCTGCTTTATTTTTTTTCCCCCACAGGTTGGCATTTTGGCTCACTTATCCAAGATGATGGTCTGAGCCCTTGGGGTCTCACAACCTTCAAGGTCTACTGACTCCAGTTGATCTCTAGGTCATAATGCTGAATTCCCGGAGAAGAATTTAATTTGCTTTGCATGAGCGAGGAATCCATCTCACACAGGTTAGCCATGGTGGAGGAGAAGACTGCCCATGAGACACAGAGCTGCTGGCAGGGCTGGGACACAGAGAGGCTTCTCCTGGAAGCAGACTCTGAGCTAGGGATTAGAATGCAGGTGTCATAGGGACAAAGTGTTTCAAGTAGCAGTGGAACTGGGAGGAGGCAGTGTCAGAAGGGAAGAGGCTGAAAAAGGAAGGCATTCTGGTGAAGCTGGAATCTCTGCCTGATCCCATGGAGGGCTCTGGAATTTAAATAAGCTTCTGAGAGTTTGCCTTTCCTCAGGCGAGGGAGGGAGGCTTCTTAACCCCCACCTGGCAGTCATCGCCAGAGTGGGACCAGGAGGGGAGCAAACTGCAGGTGCGTCTGAACTGCAAGGACCTGGTCAAGTGTGTGGAGCTCCAGGTGCCCAGGAAAAGCCCTGGTGGAGGTCACAAATGCACACGGTAGCAACTGGACCAAAGCTGATGATGGGAACCCTGAAAGGCAGCTGAGAGGGAAATCTAGGTAGGGTCTGAGAGAATCCCCCAAAGAGCATCTGGGGGAGGGGATGATGGGCATCTTCTACGGACATCACAGGGTAAGGCAGTAAGTAAGTAGGACATAGTACAGGGCTCTGAGAGATACAGTCAGGTGCAGGACTGCCGGCCAGTGGTAGTGTAGAAGGAGGAGAGAATTCCTGAGAAGTTTATTCTGGGGACTATTAAGATGTCAAAATGCCTTGAGATACTGCAAAAGGCCCTCAAGGTAGAGTCTTGTTATGATTTGTTTCTCAATGTTCCTCGCAAGCTGCATGCAAAGAAAGGCATGTGGGTTTTTCAGAGGTGGCTGAATCTAGAGTTTGTCATTGATTCCTCATCCAAGGCTGGGAGTAAAGGTGCAAGTGCCATACCTGCCCTAGAGCAGGTAGCCTGCATACAATATAAGGGACAGAGAGAGGCATTGTCCACTCTCTCCCTCGTTGCTTTTGCTGTCTTCCTCCACCACAAACTGTTGCCCCTCTGGTTTGTATGTAGCCAGTGATGGAATGAAACCTTCATAAACTGTGAGCTAAATAAATCTTTCCCCCTTTAACTTTGGGTGTCAGATAGTTTGTCTCAGCAATGAGGGAAAAGTAACTAAGACAACTTTAAAGGCCTCCATTGGCACAGTACAAGAACCCTTCCTCTGGTCACCTGCTGGACTCTCAAGTCCCTGGGGACTTCACATCATGCACACCACGTCCTTGTGTCCTCTAAGCTCTGGAGCCACATTCCCTGTTCCTAACTTTGCCTTCCATACTGTAGAGACTCAGCCTACTGGCTGCTCTGAGTAGATCCTCCCTGTCTCTGCCCAGATCCTGTGTTATTCTTCCCAACTCCCCACCCTCAACTCCCCATAACAAGGCTCTCTCTTGCCTCTCTTGAACAAGCTCATTTCTAAACACGGTCCTGGAGTATGATGGGAGATCCTGTGATACCGTTAATGAGCCTCTGTGTGGACAATTATAACCTGGAATGCAGCTTGGCTTGGTCGTCTCCCACTCACGTGTATCATCTGATCCAGTTACACACCCACTCACAATTACAATCTTGTTCTCTGAGAAAACACCATGCCCAGACCTCACAGGCTACAGCCCCGGAGTGGTTACGCAGGCAGGCACACGTCAGCACACCAGTGCCCAGTGGCCCACACATGCTCACAGACGTCCACTGCCATGGATGCCTGTAGGGCATCTTCCCGAGCGACACCTCCTGCTTAGAAAGGACTCATGGGGGAGACATCTGTGTCTGTCTCAGATGGCCTGCACCTCTCTTCCACATGATTTCCTCCCTTTGATCCAACAAAGTGCATGCTTTTAGAGACTCATTGGTGGCAGGAAACAGAAATCAACTTAGATTTTCTATTAGGAATCAGGTATCAGACCACAAGGGCCAGAAACTGGGGTGGCTTTATGACGGAGAAGCCAGCCAGAAACCAACCAATGTAGCTGGTCATGTTCTTTATTTTTTCAAAAGGAATTCTCCTTCTCTCTCTCTCTCCTGCATTCAGATTACTTGGAGCATTTATTAAAAATTCAGAGCACTGAGTCTCTGGGGACAGAGTCAAGGAAACTACATTTTTAACAAATGCCCTAGGTGTTTCGCTGATGTATGAAAGGTTAAGAACTGCCATGCTAAGAAGGTTCATAATTAAAACATTGGGCCACATCTTTGAGGCTTGTCCACCTGGTTGCAGTACCACAGACTGACTCAGGCTGGGCCAGATGTCTCAGTGCCATGGGCTGTGGCTGTCTGTGAAAGAAATGGTCTGATCCAACTATAAGGCATAGAATAGGGAAACTGACCATCCTGCATGGCGTAATGAGATGTTCCCAGTGCCTTATAATTAGCTCCCTTTCACTCACATTGGTGCAGAGGGGTTTATTGTAGTCAAATGACTCTTACGGCATAGGCAGTCAGAAAGACACAGGCACACACCCGTTGCCACACACACACACACACACACGCACACGAGCACACACAGGCACACACTGACTCACATGCACACACACCCACCATCCTGGGCACTGTGGGAGAGGTTTGTTCTGGTAATGATCTCTTTGCATCTCAGTAAGACTATAAAAAAGGTGGGGGACCTTTATTAATTATATATCCTGCATTCAATGAAACATAATATTTAATTTAAATAATTGCAGGAGGTGGCTTTGATACTTTGATTCTCTTTCCAGAACAAATGGCTTCTCTCTCTCCATGGCCTGCTGAGATGATCTTGCATGATGAAAGACCAACCTGATCTGTCCCTTTCACAGAATTTTTGTCCTAGAAAACGATGAAATGCTTCCCTGACTGAGTATAAAGCAGGGGCTGCAGTCACTTCACCAGCTTTGAAAAAGAAAGGCAGGGAAAGATCTCCATTTTATCTTTTCCAGACAACAGGTGGGAGAGAGAAGGGCTGGATCAGGGAGCTCTGAGAGATGGGTCCGCCAGTGTGGCAGAGGTAGGTACCATCTCAGTGTCCCCGGACCTAGACTGACCACACCTTCTGATCCTGGCTGCTTTCCTGTGTGCTGGGCATTGTCAGTCTCTGTAGGCTCTTAAAGGTCAAAAGAGAAATTATCTTCTATTGCTGGTACTGCCCTCTTCAAACTCTCTGGAGGTGTCTTAGTTAGAAGCCAGATAATGCCAGAATACCATGACACTACAAGAATACCTAGAGAATTGGAATTCTGACAAAACAGGCTAGAAATTTCTGTTTTGACAAGAACTTCCAGAGTCCAGGTGGCCAGCGGGCTCCTGCCTGGACTTGCTTGGGAAGCAGACTCAGGATCCTTCCTCAGTCAGGAGCTTCCAAGGTGACGCATCTGGCTGAGCCCTGGCCAGCTGGTGGGGTACATCCCTGGAATCATCTCTCTTCCTTGCCTGAAAGACAGGAGACTTGGCACTGAATATAGGTCAAGTTTGTGTCCAAGATTCTATTCTGTTTTTCCAAGACAAAATCTGCAAAGAAGCTTGGCTGGGAGTGATTGGGGACAGGTAGGAAAGAACCTGCCATCTGTGGAAGCTGTCTGGTGCTGGTGTATGGATGTATTTGGTACCCATGAATCTTGTGCCTGTGGAAAGCTTATCATCCACTTTACAGATAAGGACATGAAGACCCTGAGAGGCAGGTGACTGCTGGGTGATGCAATTAGTAAGAGGCAGGGTAGGATTTGAAGCTATTTTGCTTGGTCCAGAGGCCCCCTTCTCTGTTCCTGCAGCAAGAGAAGGTAAAGCACAGGGTTCCTTTGTCAGGGCTCAGTTTCTCAAGCTTCAAGTGCTCACAGCAGTGGAGAAGGGGCCAAACAGGAGCTGGGACTCCTTGTGAACTTCCCAAGGGCCAGTTCACTTGGTTGGCCATTTTCGTTCCTCCATCTTTGTTCTCTCCTTTCCCCAA